GCTTTCATCATGTCCTCTAGCACGGGATCTCAGACGAATTATAAAACAATCTCACCATACGATATCACATCGAGTGATAATCCGGATGCTTGATTTCTACGGTTCTTCTCACGGGACAAAATTATATCGAATGGTCCTCATCGCTCCGGACAGCTCTCCGGGCACGCAAAAAATTCGGCTTTCTCGATGGCTCTATTTCCAAATCGGCCGACAACTCACCGGTCCTCGAAGATTGGTTCGTCAATAACTCGATGTTGGTCTCATGGATAAAGAATACGATTGATCCGACACCGCCCCTCCATTCCTCAAATTGAACTCGCCAAAGACCTGTGGGATCATCTTTGTCGCCGTTTCTCCGTTGTTAACGGCACTCGAATTCAGCAATTGAAAGGCGAATTGGCTTCTACAGTACAAAAAGGTATGACTGTTAGTGCATATTATGGCAAGCTGCGAATGCTATTTGACGAATTAAATTCATATCAACCACCGATTGCGTGTACCTGCGGCCATGCCCGTGAATTCGAAGCTCGAAGAGACGCAGAAGAGACTCACCAATTCTTATTAGGGTTGGATAAAGAGGTGTATGGGTCGGCCCGTTCTGTTTTTTTGGCCCAAGATCCTTTACCTTCTTTGGATCGGGTCTATTCCGTCATATCACAGGAGGAAAGATTCTCGTCTCCTTCTGCTCCAACCGCCGACGTGATGAGCTTCGCCACCACTGCGACCCGCCAATCGTCTTCCCGTCCTCCGCGTTCCGCTCCTTCTTCTCGACAGTGCAATCTCTGTGGGGGATCTGGACATTAAGCCCCAAATTGTTTTCGGGTCAAACCCTGCCCTCACTGTAACCGGATGGGTCATGACCCTCGTCGTTGCTTCGAGGTTGTTGGATATCCGGCGGTCTGGTCCGGAAAGTCTTCTTCTACCGGCGCTTCTCCGGCGGGGCAAGGGCGGTCCAATAGCGTCTCATCTTCTTCTTCTGCTGGGAATGATCGAGGGTTGATTCCCTCAACTTCTGCAAAGGCGCACGCTACCAGTTTTATTGGGACCAATTCTGTTGGGCCGGGTCTGGTTGGGCCAGGTACTGTTGGTCCTCTTCAATTTGGCACTTTTGGTGCTAATCCAGTCCCAACTGCTACAGGTTTGAGCCCGGAACAATGGCAAGCATTAGTAAATATCGTACGCCCTAATAAATCTGAGACTTCCGCTTCTACCAATTTAACTGGTAAGGATTATTCCCGTAACTGGATGTATGATTGTGGCGCTACACATCACATGACTGGATTTTTTCAATGTCTCGTTGATATTTGTGATATTTCACCTCGACCAGTGCAGCTTCCTGATGGGCAATTGATTATTGCGACTAAAGCCGGCAAAGTTCGTCTTAGTCCAAATTTGGTCTTGCTTAATGTTCTATTTGTACCTAGTCTTAAATGCAGTCTCATTTCATTATATCAATTATTGGATGACCATGGGTGTACCGCCCACTTCACTAATGTTGATTGTCTGATACAGGACCGTACTACGAGGACCGTGATTGGTCTCGGTGAACAAAAGGGGGGGTTATATTTTTTTCGTGATCCTATGCAGACAGTGACGGCTAAGGTATCTGTTGGCGGATCTGTGGATTTGTGGCATCAACGTTTGGGACA